TGATCCGGCCAGGCCGCGTGCAGGTCGCGCCAGGCCAGCCAGACCGGTGCCCGGGGGGGACACGAACTTGGTAAGTTGTTGCCTGGGTGCTTGCCTAGTTGTCACGATGTGCCACGTGTCGCAATTTCACTGGAGGGCCAAATCTGCCCTCATTAGATCTCTTTGATGATTATGGAGGAATGGAACCAGGGAGCCATTCACTGAGGCTAGGAAGGTATACGCTTGGGGAAAGAAGTTGTACGAAGTAGTTAAGGTAAACAAATTTCAATTACTTCTACATCCACTTGAACTTTCATGATTTGCTTCTAGAGCCAATGGCATTCTTTCCCACCATTGGGTTCGCTATCTGAAATCCGCTGTTATATTATTGAACCAAATCCCCTGTTAAATGTTCATGTGCACAATACACAAACTCCTAATCAATTGTCCCTATTTATTTACATGTTCTTATTTACATGTTTATAATTGACTATTGTAGGATATCATTCTCTGTAGATTTCAAAAGCTCGTGATTTTGATGATTTGTTTCCTATAATCGATCATGAAGGAAAACCTTCAACGGAACAAAAAATCTACGCCAGTCTTCTGTGGAAGCAACTCAACCACCTTGGGTAAGACCTTGAATTGTATACTATAGCTCACAAATAGGAAAATTAGATTTTTTTTTTTTTTTGAGATAGAACTAAAAGGTTCCTGATTGCCATTTGTTATTACAATCTGTTCTTGAGATTTCAGGAATGCTGGCTTTGATTAATGTTCTGTATTACCATGCCGATTCGGCTTCTCCTCTTGCTTGGGAGATCGATCATTGGTTTCCTTGTTCAAGTAATAATCTATGGAAACTCTTGTTTTTCTCCTCAAGTTCAATTCAATTCTCTCTTTATCTAGACGCATACAAATGAGTTGCTTTGGCGGCCTTTTTTGAGACTACAAGAGGTGGACGCATACAAATGAGTTCAATTCAATTCTTACCATGTTCTTTAATTTCAAATGTGCCTGATGAGGGTGGATTTGGCTCTCCAGTGACATTGTGACACATGGTGACACCCGGAACCACTCAAGGCAACAACTTGCCAAGTTGATGGTGTCCAACCTCGCGGCCTGGCCGCGACGCCAACCTGGAGACCTGCGAGATGTGCTTATCGACAAATTCGGCATGCATACCCTAACATTCTCATGATCCTTGGAAGTTGGCCCATGTGCCGAACGATTTGGAGGGTGGCCAACGTGCATGACAGTTACTTTTAGGAATCTTGAACCACTTAGACGACCTCGTAGAAATCTTGGATATGGTGCGTGAATCACATGCCAAACAATGCCTATATAAAGGCACCTACCCCAATGGCAAAGGGGGAGGAAGGAGGCCGGTAAGTAAGCAAGTTCTAGTTCTCAGACTTTGTGATTTTTAGCTCGCAGTCTACTATGAGAGTATTGACTTAAGCATTGGAGCGACCTCGCTGGGTTAGCCGCCCTGGGTCCTCTGACATTTGGTTCCTTGCAGGTCTCTAAAGAGCAATGAAGCTCATCACAGGCAACTCAGTACCTGGTCAGCCTAGCACCTCACAGGTAGCTCGGCACCTGGTCAGCCTTGCACCTTATAGGTAGTTCTGCACTATAGTCAGCTTGCCATCTAGCCTGTTCAGCTTGACTCAGCTCGGCAGCCAAAGTTATCCACTTCGACCTGAGTCATCAGCCACTTGTAAGCAGACCAAATGACGAGGCACTTAACCAACAAAAAATGATATGTGACCAGAAACGGCCACATCACTAACATTTTGCCTTTTTCTCCCATCTCTCTCGTGTCTTTTCCATATGCATGTCCCAATCTCATCTTCTTCTATTTACAGTCACAACACTGCCGAAAGCTTTCGTAGAATCTTTTCTTGTCTAGGTCTGGCTTTCTCTCCATTTACACCTCTCCCCCTCAACATAGCATATTGTCTTCAGGTCGGGTTGTTTTCTAATGTTGGGTTATTTTAGTTAGTGTTTCGATTTGAGTTTTATTTTGAACCGAACCTGGTTCGATTGTGCTATCAGTTCGATTGCCCATCCAACCCGGTTTTATTAGTTATTGTTTTATAGTTAATAAATACTGATAATTTAATTAATAATTAATATTTATTAATTATATCAATTCGGGTTATGTTTTGTATTCAACCAAACCCAGTTTTACCAATAACCTATCATATAATAAATATAAAAATTATTATATATTTACCAAAATATATACTATTAAAAATTAAATACTTAACAAATATTAAGAAAACGTTTGACCTTTACCAAAATTAATACTTAATAAATATCAGCAAAAATAATGTTTGACTTTTATTAAAGTTATCATAAATTTGTAGAAAATGTCAAAATATAGAAAACGTGGATTATTAATTAGCTAAATACTTAATAATTAACTTACTAATTAAATGATCATATTTAAAATTTAATATTAGTTTACCAGAAATACTTTAGATTAATTTATTATAATTACCAATTATTACTGATTATAATTAGTGGATTATTGTTATTAAAGTCATTGGCATTATTAATTGATTTGTTAGAGTTGAATTTAGATATTTATCAAATCGAATCAGGTCATATCCGAATTTAAATCCGATTAACTATTTAGTATGAATAGGATATTCGAATTTGATCGATTAGATATTTGAATTATTCGAATTTGATTCAATTATATTGAACATTGAATTTAAAATCAAATTTTTGAATACCGTTGGCACCTCTATCCGTTATGTGTGAAGAACATCAAAACTCTAGTGGTTGAGTTAAATTGTATTTGCAACCATACACATGAACATAGCGTTCCGTGTATCGTGGATTTGGATGTTCTTTCTATGTAAACAGTAGGGGTTAGTCAATTTCTTAAAACTTAAGGGTACTTTAAACATTTGTGCCCTAATTAAAAATTAAAAATGGTTCATATTGATGAAGATCAAATTGAGCACAAGGGTGAGGATGGAAAGTTGTTTGAAGTGTTACCTCAACTTGATACTTCAACTTTTGAGAGAGATATTCAATCATAAGAAACGTCAGAGGCTCTAGGTGATCCTAGGGTTGTGAAGTCCAACGATTAAGTTAGTAATGCCAGGGAAAAATAAAGAATAAAGTGAGCTTATTGAGATGAGGTGAGAGCTCTTGAGAGGTCGTTGTTTGGGGGAGTTGGTGAGCTCCATATGATGAGCTAAAGAGTTTGTTGGGGACCTAGAGGGTTCCATGTCCGAGGTGTCCGGTGTGCCTTGTTCATAGTAACCTATTATCATATTCAGTTGTGTCTAAATGAATGGAGGATTCACTTATTTATAGGAGAGTGGCTTCACCTAAGAACTGACATGTCTCTCACATGTGGTCAAAACTCAGTCTACTTGTCACAACCTTGGTTGACATGCACGTGGTAGACAATGTATTTGCAGGGAGTGCTCTGGCCTTAATGTTCTAATTAGCTCGTAGCTCGTCAGGACCAGGTTATCTTGGTAAGACAAATCAGCTTGAAGCTTGTTAGGACCAAATCATATCTTCAATTGACAACATTGCCCCTAGCATGCTGTCACTGGCGGTTTCTAACTAGTGGTCAATTTTCACCTTATCATATATATATATATATATATCCTTAAAACTTATGTCAATATATAAAAAATAAGTTCTAGTGGTTCTCCACGTCCACACATTCATGCCACTGGCACCATTTTAGTGTTGCATTGAGTCCATATGGACTAATGTTTCTCATGCAAGAAGAGCCCTATGTATAGGAAAAGCTATTTGGCACCCATCTGTTTCGTGCTGTGGCTTTTTAAGAAGGAATTTTTCCAAGCCTCCACCGAAAATAAATTCAATGGTAAGTGCTAGAGGTTTTTTTTTTCCATCCCTTATCAACTCTAACGTGATATACATTCTCCATATCTCCTTATAGAACATCAAACAAAACGCTTTGATTTTTCCTAAAGCATAAAAACAACGTTACACGTTTATTGTATGTAATAACATTTTTGCAAAGTAGAAACAGAAGTTTTTTTTTTTTTTTTTAATGAGAGGAAATGGAACAATAAAGAGTACCTATTTCAACAGTTATTTTCATGGTTTTGAAAACCGGACCAGACTGGATGTTTGAACCAGTTGACCTGGGAACTAGACCTGTTCATGGGCCGGGCCGGCCTTTTATTCTTTATTAACAGAAAAATGTTAGGCCCAAGCTCGAGCCCGACTCGATCAATGGGCCTACAACTTGGGCCTGAGCCTGGCCCTGATAAAAAGCCTGAGCCCGAGCCCGAAGCCTGATCTAATAATAGAAATTCGAATTTTTCCCTATTCAAATGGACATTATCTATTTTAATTCATATGTTTTTTTTTCCCTATTTAAATGAACAATGGGCCTACAAGTGAATCAACAACCTTCTTAAATCAAAAAATTTATTCAAATGGACATCACATAGGGTTTTTACTTAGGTTTAACCATACGTCGGATCGGGTCGGGTTTGGGCTGGGCTATTTTCGCAAAGCCCGAGCCTGGCTCGAATTTTATGCGGGTCGGGCTTTTTGGCCCGAGGTTAAGCCCGTGGGCCAAAAAGCCTGTTCAAGCCCGTTCCTAGGCCAAAAAACATTTGATTTGGTCAGTGATACAGATTTTAGCCTTTTATTTTAATTACTTTTTATTATTTATTTTTTAAATCAGAATGGAGCATTCATTCGAACCTAACGGTCAAACCATTTGACCTAGGAACCGGTCCCCAAAATGGTTCAGTGTACGATTCAATTATTAAAGCCTTCATTATTTTAGTATCTAGTTTGGGTTTATGAATTTTAAGTGGGTCTTCTTCAAAGGTTTGAGATGAATAACCGGGAAGTACAATACAAGTTTCCTATGTTTGCAATACGTTTTGTGATATTAATTGCTTACAATATTAATTTTTTATTTTTTGTTTACTAATACAAATTTATAACAAGAGATTCAAAATCAAAAAATAAAGAAGAAAGGCGACAAAGAAAAACATTTAGAATATATATAGTATTTAATGTGTTATTTCCTTTGAAGGAAAAAGTAAAGGTGTAATGTGGATTGTGTGCCGGTCAGCATGGTCCTGTGGGCTTCCTGCGCTGTAGCGGGCTGTGCCATGCCAGTCTTCCCACTCGCAGGGTAGTTGCCGCAGTACAAACCTGGTCCACATTTGGTAGGTGTGGAAGATGAGCCAGAGAAACTGAGAATTAGAATAAATTAAAGTTGGGTTTTGGGAAAACTGAGAAGTAGAGAGAAACATTTTTAGGTTGTGTTTAATCTCATTACTGATCAAATTTGACAATTTCCGTTGGAGCAAGCGCGACAATTGAGTAACTGAGGACAATTGAATTATTTTTCCCAATACAATTCCATAATTGTTGCACTACAAATCAGGTCTACAAGATTTGAACATTTGGATGGTTGATCAAAAAAAAAAAAAAGAATCCAAAGGGCATTTGCATCCTTTCACATGCCATCTAGGCTGTGTTTATAAATATTCTCTTTCTGGTTCGTAAATGCAAAATGTAATTTATTTTTTTTGTATTCTTATTTGTTTGAAATCGGTGCAAAATGTGAGCCCGTCATTAAATATACTAAATTTTTGTTCAAACAAGTCTATCCAAAAAATGGGTATAATAATAAAGATATTAGAAAAAACATTTTTGACATCTTAATCATTACATTATGACAGTTAGATGCTTGCAAACACATTTGTATTACAAACAAACGTAGTCTTAATCATGATTAATGATTCTGGTCTAAACTGAGATTTTTTTAGAGTTCAGACACTAATTTGACAGATTTTGAAATTTGGTACCAAAATGAAAGTGTGCAATTAGGCCCAAAGAGATAGAGCGGATTGAATTGGATATAGGCATTATCCGAATTTGATTTGTTAATTGGATCATATCTATCAAATATGTAGCGGATTCCCCCACAAAGAAAAATTAAGCCGACGGCTTAAAATCGGCGGTCTTAAAAGACTGCTGCTATAGACACAGCTCAAAAAGACCACCGCCCAGTAAACTAAATAAAAAATATTGGGCGGTGGACCTCGAGAACTGGCACGACATTTTTACATTTGAGCTGGACTTAGTGTTAGAGAGAGAGAGAGAGCAAAAATCCAAAAACTCTCACACTCCCGCCTAATGCTCCCGCTCAGAACCTTTTTGAGAGAGAAATCGATTCAGAAATGCGTCTGACAAAGAACGAAAAGTAAGGACTCTTTTCTTCTTCTTCTTCTTCTTCACGTATGGTTGATTCATTTCTGTTTTCTCCCATTCTAGGGCATTAATCGGTGGAGGGCGACAAACACAGTTAAAGGCTTAGCCACAATTCTACTACATAGGAGAAAATCCGTATCAAGCTGGAGAAATCCCCCCAACTGCCCTTATTGACGATCCAAAAGGGATTCCTTTGTAGCAAACCATCTTCAAAGATACAGCTTCTCCCTTCACCTACATCTACTGTGGGACCTCTTGCGTCACCCCCATTAGGTCATTATCGTCCCTCTCCCTTCCATCCTTTCCATTTTCTAGCTTCTTCTTTTTCTTTCCTGAATTATATCTGTGCAAGTATTGATCATCTCGGAATTAGAGTTTATTGTTTACAGAAACAAAAAAAGGGTTTATTGTTTACAGAAACAGAAAAAAGGGTTTATTGCTTACAGAACTAAAAAAGGGTTTAGTTGAAACTTGAAACTTAGGATTATGGATTGTGGATGACCTTTTGATTCCACGATCGGTAAAATAGATGGATGGTTTAAAAATCAAAATGCAAATTCCTTTTCTTGGCGATGACTATTTTATAGTCAAAATGCGTACTTTGCAAAGGTATTAATTTCAATGCGATAGGAGCTTATGTAATCCTAATGTCAGCAGTATAAAATGTTATATACAGAAAATGGAACAAACATACATGTCTATGGCTTAGGGTCTTCAAAAATCTTCAATTATTCTTGATTGTGAATTATTGTGATGGCCCTATTTTAGGTCTATTAGATTTTATGCAGCTTGTGCTTTGGCTTTATGTTCCATGTATTTGTGTTGTGCCCATGGGAAAGAAGGGAATCTATTAGTGTTGGCATGATCACTAAAAGAAGGTTACAATTCATTCATTTGATGCAATTGCTAGGTGGTTTCGGAAGTTGCATGGGAACAAAGAGATTAAGGTGTGTTGCTCTAGCAACCCAAAAAAGGTGTAGCTCAAATAAATCACTAACACCATCTCAACTAAGATATCAAGAAAAATGATTTGCCATATCTCTCAAAGAAAAAAAAGATTGGCAGGGCATTTGAAAAATAAAAGTACATTCAAATGGGAGAAATTATTTTCCCTTGCCCCTAAAACATGTTATTTTAAACTATATTCAGATATGAAATTTTTGTATGAAATAACCTTTGGACTATGATTGTGCAATGCTTGGACTTGTCCTTTTAATGGAGGAAAGCTTTATGGAACTCTTGGATTCTTTGTCCTATAGACCTGGTGGGACCCATGAACACTGGTTGGTCTTTGATGTTCCTGGGGTTGTGGAGGTTTTTCTATTGTTTTTGTTGTGTTTCTCATCACTGGGACTTGACTCTGTGTTGTTTTGTTTTATTTCTGGGCCCTTTGTTTGCTGGTCCTCAAATGTTTTGTTGAGGTGGGTCCTTAGTGGTTTCCTCTGTTTGGCTATTTTCCTTTTTTTTGTCTCAGGTTTGAGCCTTCTTGGGATGCTATCTAGCTAATCCCTGTGATTGGATTTTGGATCGGTATACTTCTTGCATTAATGCGTCAAGCATATACATTTTACTTACCTGCTTTCTGTGTAGACGAATTTACACGGATTTTTATTTTGCTATTAGAATTTAATTTTCATATTCAGTTAATTGGATGCAAACCATGCGGAACATGAAATAACAGTCTTTTGTAATGATGATATTTGCTTTCATAAGATCAATAGAATGTATTTGCTGATCAAAATGAACAGCATGTAGAATGTTCTCACCGATTTCGAGTGCAGCCGGTTCTTTACAGGTAATGTTTATTGAGTTTTACTTTTCTGCAGTTGTCTGCATGTATGTATTGGATTTCCTTTATTTTGGGTGGTTCCATATGCACGTAGTTTGCTAATTTTATCTATGATCAAATTTTACACTTTTTTTAGTTGGAAGAACTTAATTAGATGCCATACACACCATGTAGTGCCTGCAGCTAGGATTGATGGAGGTTAGATTCTGGATATACCCTGCTCTCTACCTGCATTAACTCTCTTATAGAAACCATAATAGTCCTTAATGATATGAACCAAAAGTTAGCCCAAATATGAAAGTGGGACCATATTATATGGTCCGGGTCAATTTCATTATATTCAATATTGACATGGAAGAGGTGTGTATAATTAGGTCTGGCTAGACATGCTTCTTTCTTTGTGACCTCTGTATCTGTTGTTTATACTCATGTCATTTGTTGTAATGATTCACTGCAAATGATTTCATTTTCTGTAAGAGGTGTGTACAATCTCATAATTCTCCTTTACGAATGACTTTAATATACTTTTCTCAAAAAGAAATAAAGTTTGAATTATACAACTAGCTATTTATATACTTCTTTACAATGAACCATCTTTCTTTCTAGGTTGCCAATCTAGTGACTCTTCAAGGAGAAAACCAGCCATTTGTATATGTTTCAATTACTAAAGCAGAGTATGTATAATTCAACCAACCTTAATTCAAGTCTTTATTGGATTGTACTATGTACTCTTTAGATTCTACTATCTTAACTTTAAATTAATTAACTTCTCATAATTTTATGCAGCTTTTGGCAGATCTATTAGTACAACTAGAAACACTGTTGATGGTCAGCATTGCTCTCTTTGCAGGAGATTGAATACGAAATTCAGATATTAAGAATTCTATTTTTCTATAGTGCGGTCCTGAACTTTTTCTCGGTTTATTAAGCACATCCATTTTCTATTTCATGTGTGTTTGAAAAATCTTAAATCTTGTATTTCATGAGGAATGGAGATAAGCTTGACAAATGAACATAATATTTCATATACGATGCTATGTGTTGACTGGCATTTAAAGCTTATTGAGGAACTCATGCAACTTGGGTATAATTTCCATCTAACCCATTTCTATCTTAAGGAACTCATGCAACTTGGGTATAATTGATATGTAGGTTCTGCAACCCTACTATTGAGGAATAAGTTCTTCAAATCCACCAAAGGATCCCACCTAATTCCAAAAGGTCATAAGACTTTATTTGGCTAATGGATTCCACTTGACAACTGACTTCTAAAACACTTTAGGACTACCAACTAAAAAGACTGACAGCTAAAAGAAGATTAGAAACTAGAAAATAAACAAAAATCACCCCAAATCCAAGCTGACTCAAAATGAGTAAACAAGCCCTGCATCAATGATGTTAGAAGGTTTTGAGTGTCACTTTACATTCTATATACAACATCAATACTACTAAGAGTAATTTTTTTTATGGGAAACAATAACTTTCATTCATTTTTAGGAAACTAGGTACAAACTGTCACCTTCAAAAGCAAGGTAACCCCTTATCAAATTACAAACAGGTCCAAAAAAGTTTTTGCCTACTAACTCCTTGCGGCCGTTGCATTGGCTGATTTAAATCTGACTTCAAGCTCCCTTGAAGTCAGAAAGTGTAATTTATGGTTCATGCCTTGTATCCTATCATCATATATTTCTGATGCATATAATAATAATTTTCATGTCTAACTACATTATTTTTTTTAATTTTTGTATTTGAACAATTGCACAAATTTTAGATATTATAATAATTAATTTCTAATTAATAGATATTGTTTCAAATTGCAATTTTATATAAATTTAAGGTTTGATGGAAGGGATTTGCATTAAGCAGGACTCATAAAGCAATACATAATACAGTACAAAGGTATAAACAAAAATAAGGAAAACGGCCATTAAAAAAAATTAAGTCGGCGGTTCTATTGAGCGCCAGCATAGCTATAAATAGGAATTAAGGTGTGGAACGTAAGGCGGCGGTCTGAAACATCTAAGCTGGCGATTTGAACCGCCATTTAAAGATGTAAAGATGGGAGGAATTTTTGAGAAAAAGCTAGTGGTGGTCTGTTAAGACATAAGCTGGCGGTCAAAACCGCTGCCTTATTAACACTAACCTGGCAGTTCGATAATCCACCACTTTAGAGCAACTTGAACCACTTTCAATCAGCCATTAAAGGTGGTGGTCATGATCTAAGGCGGCAGTTTCTTAGAGGGTGGTGGACACATGACCGCGGACTTTGACCTTTTTTTTTTGTAGTGATTCTAATTGAATTTGGATTGTAATTAGATACTAAATACTATAAATGAATTAGACTAAAAATAACCAAAATATTATATGTTATTAATGAGATGAGCTAAAAATGACTTTAATAATATATTTTATGAACAAAATAAATTGAAAATTAATTGCATAAAACTTGAACATATGACAATTTAGTGAAAATACAACATTAAGACTAATATAATATACTTTTTAAGTGTATATGAACATATATATTTAAATCAAATCGAATTATATCGGATTGGATAAGGGTAGATCCATATTATTTGATCCAATTATAAATAGATCGAATTCGAATCAGACTTAATAGGATCAAATTTGAATTTGGAATCCGATAATAAGATACTGTTTACATCCCTACAAAGAGAGTAGTAATCTGTAATTTTCACTTAGGCTATGTTTGGAAACAATGCAAATAAGTGTGAATGCAAATATATAGTGTAAAACGGTTCATATAAATTATAAAATTGGGTTAGTTTTGCATTGACAAATTTACATTCTTACCAAACAGACTTTTAATTGTAATGGATGCAAACATGAATTCCATTAAAGTATATGCCTTTTTTTTTATCAAAAGCCCATTTGAATGTAAGTTTACTTCTTTTTTATTGATGGTGTAGTTCTACATCTTATTATCAATGCAATCATGCATTGATTTATTATTTATTAATGTATAAATGTAATGTCACCAAATACAGACAAAAGTAAACCAGAGTGCAAATTTACCCTGAACACAGTTTTACACTCCATTTATATAATTTTCAAACACAGCCTAAGGTTTAAATTCTACAGAGCTTAAAACATGTGTACATCGAATTATGGACATTCCATGATAACTAGGCTAGAAATGTTTGCCGGATGGGTCCGGCGCCAGCTCTAGAAACGACGACGGGAAATGTTTTTTAACGGTAAAGAAGGTGAATAAGGATAGATGCCCGGGGGGGCAGCTATTTCATAATCCACTCAGCTTTAGACCACGTTGGAATAAAAAAAGTTGAACTAACAAGGCGAAGCTTTATTCCAAACTTCCCCGGCATGTATAATATAAGTAGCCTACTTGTTAAGACCCGAAACCACCACACAAGAGCCAAGAGGACAAGACTCATTTGTCTTCTTCCATTCTTCATTGAAGAGGACTCTTCCCCACTCTCCGTGTCGTGATCTTTCTCTGTTTTCTTTTTTTTTTTTTTCACTCGTTTATGTCCTCACTTTAAACATGGGTCCCACTATGATATGGAAAATCATACCATATCTAAAACCTCTTTTACTGCTACGTATACAGTAGTTACCAAATTTATTTAGCCGGTAATAATTTTTTTATATATTAATTAAAATTTAAAACATTCTTTAACTTATCCATTAACCGAATCCTCGTTACCCATTCTTATCTTCTGGTCGAATTTCTCCTTTTGAAATTGTAAATCTACAATTGGGTTATGGATTTGACCTAAGTAAAGGATTTAGATTTGGTGAATATATACCCCAGGATTTATGCGAGTCAAAATAATGTTCCTCTCCTGTAACCTTATAAGTGGACGGGCAATTGGTTGATGGTTGTTAGACAAAGCTGGAACAATCTCAGATTGAACTTTAATCACCTTTCCATTGTCAACAACCTAATCATTTTATGCATACTGTTTCAAAATAATCTTGGCATCCTTATAGCGCTTAACCTCTGCTAACATGCCAGTAATGCGTTGGGGATCCACCTCTGTATTTATTTTCCGCTGTAAGGCATCAATTTGATCCTCAAATGATCGCATTGTGTTTACAACTACAAGTGTTTCATCAAGAACAAATACCATGCCCAGACATCTAAGATTTAGCATGACAAGACAAGAATTGTAAAGCACTGGTGCAACGTTAAAACCCCAAAAACATAAATATTGTTTGTCATTCTTCCTATATAACATGGCTACCAAATGGAGTTCCTCCTCTCCTAGTGGCACAACTGTAGTCTCAACTGTAGTCTGTAAACCAAAAATCAATAAACACAAGGCATAGTAGGTGAAAAAATGCTTTGAGAAGTTGAAAGTAAGCAGATACAGGGAACTAGTAATTGAGTTGTATTTTCAGAGGAACTGAATGCTAACAAAGAAGCTGAAACACTTGGTCAGTCGGTAAAAAGTAATTGAGTTGTATTTTCTTCTAGGTTGGACATATTTCTGAATTTGTTACCAGCTAGAGAGATTTTGATATTTTGTTTTGTTACAATTTGTTATGCTGGAGTTGGAGTTCTACCAAGAAAGACCATTATTACTACCAGTACGATGCTGTATTATACGAATTAGTAGTTATAGTAATGTTACAGTTCAGTTACTTCACCACCTCGGCAGTTGCCCACGGATATGTGCATTGTGAAATTCTTCTTCGTTGGCAGAATCCTACAACAATCCCTCCTTGCTGAATGCACAGGGAAAGAGAAATCTGGTTAATAACCAAAATGCAGAAAAATACACCTCTCATCTCCTATCGACTACAGTCTATAGATGTGGCTGCAGGTGGTTAATAGAATAATAAGTACTTAAAGAGCTTAATTAATTAATTATTACCTTCCGCCAGCGAAGGTTGTCTGGTCTCGAAGACGACAATGGACTCGATTACAGCTGGGGAAGCCATTTTCCATCGGCAATAAAGGTTGTCTCTCTCTGTAGCGGGACTCGATTACTTCTAACGCAGGGCATCGGGTAGGAATTTGGAGATAAAGAGAAAAGGGGGAGGGTGACATTTTTTTTTTGAAATGTGATTTAAATAGTTGTTTTTAAAACTGGTTACCTGGGATAACCCGTATTCACCCAAACAAAAAGTTGAGTGTTGATTGGTTTTGCACATTCGGAGGATGCGCCGCATGTCTTCCGAAGCGTGTGACGTTCTCAAGCCTGCGGAGGGGTTTAACCACCGTTAGTGGCTAAACCTGGACGTGAGTCTCTCGTCGAGTTTCTCTCCTCTCCTCTGCTAGACAAGTTCGAACCTCACACTTTCTCCTCTTCACTCGGTGGCAACTGCAAAACCATCAACACCGGCGATTATACAACCATCACCGACGACGGATCAACACCGACTGGCCTGTTGATGTTGACCAACAAAACCAGACAGAAGCAAGGCCATGCTTTCTACCCTTTTCCAACCCATTTCAAGAATCCCGGATCGGATGACGGGAATGTTGTCTCATTCTCTACCACTTTCGTATTCAGAATCATCCCCCCGTACCCAAATCTAAGTGGTTACGGAATCGCTTTCGTGATCGCACCTTCAAGAGCTTTGCCGGGAGCTCTACCAAGCTAGTTTATTGGCCTCTTCGATGAGTCCAGCAGTGGTGATTTGAACAGCCATGTTGTCGCCGTTGAGATCGATACCATCCACCCCGGCCTATTATACAGATCCTAATGGTGTCAGTCAGAACCTAAAAGCCTATGCAACTTTGGATAGAATATAATGGCCGCGAAAAGCAGATTAATGTGACATTAGCTCCGTTTAACTAGATAAACCTGATATCCCGCTCCTATCTCTGAAAATCGATCTTTCTCCAATCATGAAAGACCCCATGTACGTTGGATTTTCATCGCCAACAGGCTCTGTTCTTTCATCTCACTACTATTGGGATGGAGCTTTCAGCTGAACGGACCAGCAAAACAACTCACTCTCTCTCAACTTCCCAAGCTTCCTCGAGTAGGACCGAAGGAGAAATCCAAGTTTTTGACAATTGGGTTGCCGAATGTTATCATAGTTTTTGTGTCCACCGTGGTCTACGGAGTCCAATTTATCATGGCAAGGAAGAGAAAGTTCATAGAATTAGTTGAAGATTGGGAAATGGAGTACGGGCCTCACAAATTCAAATACAAGGATCTCTGCTACCTCACCACCAAGGGGTTCAGAGACAAGAAAGTTTTAGGTAGCGGCGGATTTGGCAGAGTCTATAGAGGTATAGTACCCACCTCTGAAATCGAAGTTGCAGTGAAGAGAGTCTCCCACGAGTCCAGATAGGGGATGAGAGAATTTGTGGCAGAGGTAGTTAGCATCGGTCGAATGCGACACCGGAACTTGGTGCAACTATTGGGCTATTGTTGGCATAAAGAAGAGATGGAAGGAAGATGGGATGCAAAGATATAATACCTGAGGTTCTTGATCCGCCGCCGGTGATGGTTTTGCAATTGCCGTCGAGCGGAGAAGAGCGAGCATAAGATTCGGACTCGTCTGGCAGAGGAGAAGAGAGGAGAGGAGACTCGAAGAGAGACTCACGTCCAGGTTTAACTACTGGACTGAAGCCGGACTCCTCCAAAGATGACTCCCCAACTGAAGGAGGGCGAGAGGAAATTGTCAACATCGGACACCAAACAACGGTCCATACATAAGGTTTCCTCCGAGTCCGTGGTTAGCATTAACATTGAAACGTTTTGATTTGAGGTATCATTACTCATTAGCGGTCCACACAACCGTGAAATTACTCAAAGTCCTGGGGACACAAATTAATTAAGGTGGGTGTATCAATAATCATTAGCGGCGCCCTTGGCAGTTAGCTTAGCTAGCCGATTTGATGCTCCTTAGACAAATCCCTCATGTCTTGGAGCGTTTGAAACCCGTGTTTGATGTGGTAATGAGCCTCATCGACGAGAGATGCTAATACTTAACCAAGTGGTGGTGTTGTGGCCTCACTGTCTTGGGTCATGACTCATGAGTGCGTTTTATATATGCAATTAATGTCCAGCCATTGTAGATTGGAGTTGATCAATTTAATTAATTTAACTCAACTCTGAGTTCAATTGTTTAGGTACGTACGTAGTTACTTACTATCGACAGCTAGCTGAGGCCTGGGAGTTGTACAGCTTGATCCACAAGATCATCAATTGCATTGTTATGGATACATCGCCCGACAGCACACTGTGGCACAGTCATAGGCAGCGGCACGTATAGCAGGTCGCACAGCAGCACGCACCGCCCAGTAGGCAGCAGCACGGCTGCAGTAGCACGCACCGCACGGCTAGGCAGCAGCACGCACCGCACGGCTGCAGTATTGGGCAGCAGCACGCACCACACGACAGCAGAACTATGAGACGTGCGCGTCGCCCCGCAGCAGCAGTAGGGCGGGACCCACACGACAACTCATCAGGGTGGGTCCACACTTATCTGACCACATCAGCTCTGCTCGCCAACTCGCCGCCAACTACTCCATTCCTCATCCCTTATCCTTATCTTATCTTAAGTAAGAATTGTGTTACCATTAGGAGTAGGTAATTAAGAGTTTGAGTTTAAGTTGGATTACCCTAACCTAGTTGAATCCAACAAGGAGTTTCCTTTTGTAATCTCCTATTTAAGGAGTTACGAATTGAAGTAAAGGCATTCAGCTTTCAACCAAGAAAGGTGTTAGGAGAGTTCAGGTGATCTCTTGGACAAATCACCCACGCGATTGCCACAATAGGGTCTGTACGCAAGGGCAAAGGCAAGGGAAGACAGGAGTCTCTCCTGATGGACCAACCCGTGACGAAATCCTATGCACGGGCCCATAACATGCATAATAACCCATTTCAGGAGGCAACTCCGACTTTGCTACCAACACTTACATAGGTGATTACATCCTTAGTTCTTACTATAGAGCTACAATATAATGAAGACATATATGTATAATGGTGCAGAGGAGAAGAGACACGTTGAAGCTTTTCGGCTGCTTGTGCGCCTGTTCGAAACACCCCAGAATGACAACATGACGAAAATACTGATCCAGAGCGCTCCTTTAATTTACTCCAAATTAAGATGATATATGCAACCACCGACTGACTCGATCGACTCGAGGTTCTGAGGGGAAGAATGTGCTACTGCTTATATCACACCTTAATTTTAATTTTTCCTTGGACGAGCTTTACATTTTCGAGCAAGTGTACACGGAATGACGGAAACACGTCGTCTACTCGTCTCCAACCATCCGGCTCAGAGAGTCAGCTCCAAGTGGTTTGGCTTCCTAGTCGCTTCAGTGGAGTATCCGGCAGCAAAGGGAATTTGAGCAACTTCAAGCGTCCATGTTCGAATACCCACATGTAGGGGTATAAACGAATCAAATTTGAATCGGGTGATATAATATTCAAATTTGAATTCTATATTTGACGGATATTAAAATTAATATCTGAATTTAAATTCGATTAAGTATTCGAATATTTGATTTAATTTGAATTTGATTAATTAATTATTTTAGATAATTAATAAATATACAAAATAAATATTTTATTGATACAAATATATAAATATATAACTTAATTATTATATATATAAATTATATAAAAATATTTTATATCATATATAAAAATTAAATAATCAATCGAATTGAATCAAATCATATCCAAATTGAATTCGATTAACTATTTAATATGAATAAGATATTCAAATTATCTGAATTTGATTGGATTATGTTAAATATCAAATTTAAAATCGAATTTTCGGTGGATGGGTCATTCTGATTTGGGTAATTATTATTTTTTATATATTGTGATATTGATTCCATTTAATTGAATCGATAAGGTACGAATGTTGTCCAGGGTAATTGAATTGATAAGGACGAAAAAGCTAAAGCTTGGTCATTGTTGGACAGAAGGTTGGCAGATATGGCTCTTCAGAGCATGTATTACTCCAAGATACAGTACCATTACACCCGGGGCGACGATGAGAGATCAAGAACATGCTGAGCTTCAACAGAAACGACCAGGGATGGGCAATAACTGGCAAGGGCTTGGCCGAGATGTGCAGAGCTAAAGGGGGCCAAATCTACATGTCTATCTCCCACTTTAATTTAACTAATTAATTTCTATTAAAGACTTTATTTGTTTATAGGAATAACCCAAATACGATTTCCATGATGTCTAGTTGGATTGATAAATGATAATTGATTGTCCCCGCTTCAGGTCTTTGAGTCTTCCGTCTCTAGTCTCTACCCAACCCACCTTTTTTATCGCTGCCAAGTGGGCCACAGGGCTTGAATAATAGGACAGATGTGGGCCCTCAACCGACCAGACAGACATGTTTAGCACGAATTTTGCGTTCCCATATTCGAGATTTGGTTTCTGATCTGATGTTTCATTTCAACGGTTTTGATCTGCCAACTCTCACATTAGACAGTATGTTGACTCTAACTCTAACGTGAGAGACGGTCGATCTTGTTTTCGTTTCGCTGACGTTGGATTATTATCTTAAGTCTAGATCTTGACCGGGTCAAAATAAACGAAATAAGGAAGCACTGCACGATTAAGAGTTAAGACTTAAGACTAGTGGATGGTAGCATGGGCCAGGCCATGGCCCATGGTCCAGTAAACAGCGAAGACTAAAGAGTATAGACGCTTTCCATGAATAAGCCTGTGGGTCCCACAGTGCTTCAACTTTTTCACGCGGCTCCCCTTCTTTTATTAACCAAGCACCACCACTCTAGTCTTGTTGAATGTTGTTGATCCACACCGGCACTTTGGCGTTGCCCGTTGCCCGTTGCCCGTTGCCCGTTGCCGGTCGGTAATTGGTAAGAGAAATCAGAAATGGTTTCCCTTCTCCATATCCTCCACTTCTTCTTCCTCGCCTTCCTTTCTCTTTCCCTTCTCGTTCATGCCAGATTGAATCTTGACCCTTCGGATTTCGACGCTCTCTCGCTTATCCGAAAAGACTTGGGTGGTTTCTACGGTCAACGCTTTTTGCCGGAAAATCCATGCAATTCGGCCGCCGGTATATTCTGCGAAAGGAGATACTCGGGTAACTCACTTGTGCTCCGAGTTACTAGAATCGTACTGGAATCACAACGGCTCAGCGGATTCCTTTCTCCTGCACTCGGACGTCTCACTGAGCTCAGAGAGCTGTCTCTCCCTAACAACCAGCTTGTTGGCAAAATTCCTCGTGAAATCGTTGACTGCCGGAAATTGCAAATCCTATACCTCCGGAACAACCACCTTTCCGGCAAAATTCCACCAGAATTCTCCTCTCTTGTGGGCCTCCGTTCCCTTGACCTCTCTTCAAATCGATTTTCGGGCGATTTGAGCTTCTTAAAACGTTTTCCTAACCTTGAAAACCTTTCTCTTGCGGACAATCAATTCAATGGAAAAATTCCGGCATCATTGCGCTCTTTCCGCAATCTCCGATTTCTTAACCTGTCTGGAAACAATTTCCTCCAAGGCCCAGTGCCCGCGTCGTTGTTGAACCGGGTAGAACACTCCATCTCCGGATTGGAGACAAAGAATATTCTTCCGAAGCGCTACATATTTGCAGAGAACTCCACAAAGAATAACCAGACTTCTGTAGTGGCGCCACCGACCAGCAGTAAGAAAAATTCCACCCAAGCCAAGGCGCCCTCATCATCCTCAGAGAAAAAGGAAAAGCATGAGCATCAGAAAAATAAAAAGAAGCTAAAGGGCTGGATCTTCGGGTTCTTTGCTGGGGTAGCTGCTGGAACGGTATCGGGAATGATCGTGGCAGTGCTGTTTAAACTACTACTGGTTTGCATCAATGGTAGAGTAAAGGACTCAGGCCCGGCTATCTTTAGCCCACTGATCAAGAAGGCAGAAGACTTATCCTTCTTAGAGAAAGAAGATGGGCTTGCGTCTGTGGAGATCATCGGACGAGGAGGGTGCGGAGAGGTTTACAAGGCTGAATTACCAGGAAGCAATGGCAAGATCATTGCAATCAAGAAGGTAATTCAGCCCAACCCTATGGACGCAGCTGATCTTGCAGAGGAAGAAAGTAAGCATCTAACGAAGAAGATGCGGCAAATCCGATCAGAAATCCAAACAGTTGGTCAGATTCGGCACCGAAACCTGCTGCCTCTGCTTGCCCATGTGCCTCGGCCCGATTGCCATTACCTCGTATATGAGTACATGAAGAACGGGAGCTTACAGGATGTGTTGAATCAGGTGTCACAAGGGACTAGGGAATTGGATTGGCTGGTACGCCACAAGATCGCTCTTGGGGTGGCAGCTGGCCTTGAGTATCTGCACATGAATCACAGTCCTCGCATAATTCACAGAGACCTCAAGCCCGGAAACATTCTGCTCGACGACGACATGGAGGCACGCATCGCCGATTTTGGGCTGGCCAAGGCAGTACCGGACATCAACACCCATGTGACAACTTCCAATGTGGCTGGAACAGTCGGGTACATTGCACCAGAGTACCACCAAACGCTCAAGTTCACGGACAAGTGTGATATATACAGCTTTGGAGTGATTCTGGCAGTGCTGGTTGTGGGCAAGCTTCCCTCCGATGAATTCTTTCAGAACACAGATGAAATGAGCCTACTGAAATGGCTTAGAAATGTAATGGCATCGGAGGACCCCAAGAGGGCAATCGATCTCAATCTGATGGGGAACGGCTTCGAGAACCAGATGCTGCTGGTTCTCAAGATTGCTTGCTTCTGCACCTTGGATGATCCAAAGCAAAGACCCAACAGCAAGGATGTCCGCTGCATGTTGTCTCAGATTGAGCGCTGACCACGTTTCAAGTGGTGAATTGAAACCTTGGCCTCTAATAAGCTAAAGATTCCCTTGAATTAATAGAGTGGCTGTTATTGTTTGCTGGCTCTGGTTAATTTAATTACTCTTTTCTCTGCTAAAATGTTGCAGATTAATTAAAATGCTTGAAAACTAGCTAGCTGCTGTTTTTCAATAGTGTACTAAAGTGCAGCTTTCTGCTGATTTATACCTGTTCACGGGCCGGGTTTTGTCTCTATATTAACAGAAAATGGTCACGTACGAGCGACCGGCTCGATTATAAGAAATTTAAGAAAAAAAAGAAGAATTTTCATTTTTAATTCAATTAAAAGTTGTTTTTATTTATATTAAAAGATCTTAAAATCTAAAAAATAATGAAAATTCTCATTATTACTTGAAAAGGGAGAATAAAATATAATATATATATATATATATACTTTTTTATTATATAAAATATATTTTTATTAATATAATACATTATCAAGTAAGGCTTGGGTTCGAATCAGGCTTTTTTAGAAAGCTCGACTCCGATATTTTAGGCCCGAGACCGAGGGCCTAAAATCTTGTCCAATCCCAACTTAAATCAGGTCAGGCCAGGTCGGGCCCATCGGACTACCCGACCCATCAATAGTTCTATTTCATACTAGTCGTTTTTCAATAAAGAGTACTACGAAAGAAGATTCAAATTCAATGCCAATTAAATTTAGTAATTCACAATCATAGATGCGCTAGCTGATAAGTGCTTATAACCATCAACATTTATCATCTAAATTACTCTAAAATTTAAAACTAAGCCATTTGAAAAAAAGGCATTAAACAATAAACATGTTGTTACTCCCCCATGGTCGAAATGGCCCCCCCAATGCCACGTGGCATCTTTCTAGCCATTTTATCTCTTCGGCTACGTCGGCACCACATAGGACAGATAAGCGTGACCAAGAAGAGGAGCCTCGTACGGATAAGGAGGACAACACTCTTGAGGATTAAGACTCATCCCGAAAACCTCGGCGGACAATCTCATCCCGACAACCCCAGAAGCCTCATCCAAATCGAACACGAATCTTCCGTTATAAATAAGTAACCTCCGCTCAAGGTAAGGGACATTTGACTCTTCACACCCCATACTATTATTTTGCTTCTGCTCGGACTGACATTCTTCTCAACTGTGTAGCCCAACCACCCATCTCTTCCATTACTGACTTGAGCATCGGAGTGCCTACCCGAGGAACAACTCCTTGGGCCTTTGATCTCTTTCTTGGTTTCAGATCTTGTTGCGCGACTTCATCCTTCCACCTTGGCTTCACTAGTTGGTAGGACTATTTGATTGAGATCTTGATTCGAAACACCTCAGATCGGACAACATCAGATTGGCGCCGTCTGTGGGAATTGTACGAAAAGCCATTCCCGAAACTCCTTCTGCACAATCAAGAGCCATGCCAAGAAACACATATGATCGCTCTGCAACCTGATCCCCATCTCGGGGATCCTATTCTCACCACATCTCTCCACCTCGAGAGTCACAACAGCAAGTCACTGTCAACCCCGCACAATTCCAAGCGATGTAGCAAAAAGGTCGATCAGATTCTTGCTATGATGCAGACAATGGAACAACCAACGCAAGCTCTCCAGACCGTTCCCCTGCTGCGTTGGTGCTTACAATGGTCGGTCCTAATCCCAAGGACCCTAAAAAGCGCCACCCAGATAGGCATAGGGCTTGATCAGAGCAAGAAAAGCAGCAATCGTTGAAAAGGTCAGACAACATGGGGTGGACCCAAAGCAACTGCCGAGCCGCAGAGGGACATTGGGCCCCTCCTTTTACACTACTTCGGCCTCGACCCCCTCGCCATCGGCCTCATGAACTGTAAGCATAGTAGCCTCAACGAGAGACCCCAGCTCGCACTCACTACCAAAACTAAAAGAAGAGGAAGGCGAACTAAAGGAGCCTGAGGACGAAGAAGAAGACATCTTACCAAAGTGAAGGTAAAGATTGCGAAAAACCGAAGCACCAGTCGAGTCGAGGACTACTTCTCGCCGAACTCCAGACAACACTCTTCGCAAATGACAAAGTAGAAACGCTCTTCACTCCCCTTTTATAGGACTCCCAATGACACAAATCAAGGTAGATCGATGACGATGATTCAACGCCGCCCTTTGATAGTTCGGTAAGACAAAACAACGCCACCACCCTCCTTACGCGCGTAGCCTCGAGGAAACAAAATGATGCCCCTACTGACCTATCTCGGAAAATGGTACAGGCATCGAACTGGCCGGTTTGCCCAATAAACCGGTTACGCCCTGGGTCGCTCAACTTGGAAAGGTACGCTTCACTAAAGAGTTTCTCAGTCGAAGACCGCAAAGCTATTCCACACTACACTGTGCCAAGCACAACACTCCTCGACTTCGGAACTAAGGGAGTGGTGTTTGGGTTATGGTCGAGTTGGCCCTGAATGCCACATGGCATCTCCCTAGCCACCTTATCTCTTCGGCCACGTTAGCAGCATGTAGGACGGATAAGCGTGACTAAGAAGAGGAGCCCCGTACGGATAAGGAGGACAACACCGTCGTGGATTAGGACTCATCCCAAAGACCTCTACAGACAACCTCATTCTGATAACCCTCAAAACCTCATTTGAATCGAACATGGATCTTTGGCTATAAATAGGTAACCTTCGCTTAACGTAAGGGACTTTTGACTCTTCAGACCCCATATTGTTATTATGCTTCTTCTTAGGGGTGTCCACGGTTCGGTTAATCGAACCATGGGCATATTTTGCAAACCGAACCAGTGGTACTGGTTTTTCTATTTCTCCAAATCGAAACCGAATCGGTACCATTGGTTAACCAGTCCGTTGGTTTCGGTTTTTGACCGGTTCGATTTTTCGGTTTTTCATATTTATAATATATATTATATAAATATATGTATAATAATTAAGAATTAAGCAACGTGCAGAAAAATCGGATTGAATGCTCACAAATTCGTTCTCACACCATGTTCAGAGCCACTTACAGCATGCCGGGAGCACCGTGTTGTGAGGACTGAATAGCAAGCCAGTTTTTGGCACAAAGTCGAAGATGGAAAATCTGTAGGTCAGAGTCAGAGTCAGACTACTCCACTTCATTGCCCATTGATTGAGCGATGACTTGGGATACAAAAATACAGTTGCACTCAACCACAACTACGCTTAGTAGCAGACCGCAGGTCCATTGGTCAATAATGAGAAGATTCAGTTTACTACTCTGTCAGCCTACGGGAACAAAAATCCAACAAAGGATTTGGAGAGATCAATTCAAGTCTGATTCCGCGAAACATCTCATCGAAAGCAAACGCGAGGAACTTAAAAGTAGACTAATGTTCAAAGAATTCCATGTTGATTGGTCAACAATGGAAAGTTGTCAAGCGGTCAATAGCATAGATTAAAAAAAGGAAAATTTATTTATAGGCATAGTGTGAAGTTAGTTTGGTCCAAAAATGTTAACTTAAAAGTATTATATAAAATGACAAAAATGTCCTTGATTTCAAGAGTAGGAAATTGGGTTTTTTCTTCTAAGAGTAATCTATCCAATAATCGCCTTACTGCACACATATATCTGGATTTACCACATTTGGAATTGTCGAGTTCCGATATTCTAAACCGTTTACCTTACTGATCTTGAGCAGTTTTAGACCTTTGATTAGCTTATCCAGAGAGCTTCTGAGTTGGTTTCTGGAGATACACAGAACAAAAAGAAGGTTGATTTGACTTTCTCAGTTTTGAAAATTGAAGGAAAGAATGTTGTTGCCATTGGTGATGAGAGTGTCATCAAGATAAAGAAGGATGAAGGGGCAGAATCAAAAACAAAATCAGATGTTGCTAAGGGTTTATTCCTAGATATTCTCCAAAGGTCGGGCTCTCTTCAGGTCAGATAGGATTTTTCTCCTTGTTACATTATCTTCTCTTTTCCATTCTTAAGACTCTGGTTTATCTTCTTCACTTTTTTTCTTTACATCACTTATGCATTGAAAGCTATGTTATTTAATTTTGCAAAGATATATATATATATATATATATATATATATATAAGCTCAGTTTGGAAGGGAGAATAATCTAGGCCCACTTGAGGGGACAGAGCGATAGCAGTCCAAAAAAAGCAAGATGACTTAGGCGCAAGATTTGACATTCAACGTGTTTTGCTTGTTCCAGGAAAAGCCCAATAATAGACTATTGGAAATTTAGAATCATCACATTGATAAAGTTGGACAAGGCCTGCCGAGTGCCGCCCGCATATTACATGACTAATGACGCTTTTATAGCATTGTAAAACACATTGTGGGTTTGTTTCTTCGCGTTTGGTTGGGCCTTGGGCGCCTCAACTGAGTCCGGCTTCGGGCGGTAGCATGCCGAGTGTTCATACCGTTCGCACATTTCGAGAACGTGCCACGCGTTAATAAGTTTGTTTTTTTCTCATGTTTTTTAAAATCGACCCGGAGCAGTGAGGGTCTGGTTACCAGGTCGAACGATCGGCCTTTTTGACAAAAAAAAATTAAAAACGGTCAAAATCATTTGAACGGTTAATTGTCCGAGTCAGCGGTTTGCTGACCAAATTCAACGGTTTTTGAAGAAAATCCAGTTTTGGGGAAAACCAAAACCGATCACCTAACTGGTTCCCTGTTTTTGGCCTGACCGTCCGGTCTGCTCCGATTTTGAAAACCATGATTTTTCTATCACATCTGTGCCCCACAAACGTCCCATAGAACATCCCAATCGTATATTAAGAACATCTCTCGATGGAAGATGTTCCAAATGTATGCTGAGATGTGCTGGGGGGTGTTTGTGAGGTCTAGATGTGAATTCATCCATGGGAAGACTCTCACACTGTTAGCTCGAGAAGGAGATCAAATCAGCCCCCCACAACACATCTCTGCCGTGTATTGGAAATATCTCCCGATGATGATATCATCATTTCTGGTATTATCATCGGGAGGTGTTCCCAATACATGGCGGAGATGTGTTGCAGGACATTGTGAGGGGCTGATTTGAACTCCTTGAGGAGTTCTTTCGGATCTGTTCCTTATAGAGTGTGCCTCACACCGATTTCACAACATGCTCCAACGGTGCATGGAGAGCATCTCCCCGTGAATAAAAATTGGGAAAATTCTTTATCAGTACCCTATACTTTGGCTCAAGTGGCAATTTGGTCCCTGAACTTTAAAATTCAACAATTCAGTAACCAAATTTTC